AAAATCACCGCTATCATGACGTCATGTGAGCTTCTTCTAATGACGGAGTCTTTTACAAATCCTGTAAAAAAAAAAAAAAAGTAATTAGTTCTTCAGTAATTCTTTTTCAAACCGAAGATTTTTGAAACAATCCACGCATTCAAAAGTCTCTTATAACCAAGGGATATAAATATTTATTTTTTCCTTTCATAGCTGAGAAGGTTTTTTAAATTTCGATTAAAGATGCTCGGATATAATTCAATACATGGATTCTTTCAGTGCATAAAATATAAAAGAAAAAAAAGAAAAACGTAAAAACAAATCTTTCTTCACAGGAAGTAGTAGTTTCCTCACTGTATATATATATATATATATATATATATATATATATGTGAGTGTGTGTGTATTTTTCTCTCTCCATTTCGTTTATATTTTTTTAGATCGTGAAGAAAATCAGAGGAACGACTCAAGAGAAAGGATTAAGATGCACAACAACTGGAAAGGTGAATAAAAAAAAAATCCTGAAAGAGAAAATAAAAAAAACAAAAAAAAAAACAAACAACATCAATAGATTTTAAAAGATTATTGAACACAGTAGTTCTATGTGTACCGCTGTTATTTCTCCTTCGTGACATTCTTTACAATTAACTAAGATGAATGTAAACTGGCACAAGGCCACAACTATAGTGAGGTTTACATTCACTGCATAATAGCTTCACCTGTCCCCTAAGACATTCATTGTCATAGAGACACCATTCACAAGTCCCGTTACACATTTGGGGGTCATAGGTTCAGCTCTTACGAATACTATATCCCATCGGGATATATAAATGCCCTCCTTACTCGAGAAGCCTGAAACCCATTTTTTAAAAACATTTCGCGCCAAGCTAGGCGGGAGTGCCACTAGCACGCAAGGGGCTTACAGAGAGTGCAAGCAAGAGTAAAAAGGCCTGAAAGAGAAAAAGATGAAGAGAAGGACGGAGAATTATTTCAAGGTACAGTGTAACCCGGATATAAGAGAGTTGTCGGGATCGGAGAAGAAGTCTCTTATATCCGGGTTTCTCTTATATCCGAGTTTGGTCTATTTTGTTTAGGTTAACACAGGATCTAATTTGGGACCAGAGAAAATCTCTCTTATATCCGGGTTTCTCTAATATCCGGGTTTGGTCTATTTTGTTTAGATTAACACAGGCTCTAATTTGGGACCAGAGAAAATCTCTCTTATATCCGGGTTTCTCTTATATCCGGGTTTGGTCTATTTTGTTTAGATTAACACAGGCTCTAATTTGGGACCAGAGAAAATATCTCTTATATCCGGGTTTCTCTTATATCCGGGTCTCTTATATCCCGGTTACACTTTATCTGGAGATGTCGATTGACATTGCATATGAATAGTTGGAGGTTATAGCTATCAGGGAAGCAAGTAAGAGGAAGGGAGTTCCACAGACGGGAAGAGCGAGTCATGAAACTATTAGAGTAGAAGAGACGTCTACATCTAACCGTTTCGACAGTGAAAGGGTGGGTCAGAGATGCCAACCTAGTAGCACGCTTAAATTCATGTAGTTTGGGAACTAGCGAAAGTAATTCGTCGGAGCAGTTACCGTGAAAATATTTATAGAAAAGACAGAGGGAGGCCACGGCACGTCTGTGAGAGAGCGACTGTAAACGAGATGCCAGATCAGGACCAACCATATTGCATATCCGTCTCTGGATTTAGGGTTGTAGAGGCACCACGCACTCATCCCGTAAACATTTCAGGGGTGTAGGTACACATCTTAAGCGCATCTGGGTCGTCAACCTGATTATATGTCGGGGATAGCAACTGACATTCAGCGAATGCACGAATCTGCACTTGGTGACTAGGAGGACATCTACCAGATTAACTGGCTTCTCTGACGCTCTAATGTCATAATAAGTGCAAAGTCTATTTTAGTATCATCTGGAGTCAGGTCAGTACTTACTGGAGGTAATTGCGGAGTGACATTTTTAATACTGATATTCGCCCAATACAAGGAACAAGAGTCACTCAAGGTAGAGAGTCACTTTATAGTATTGTATGATCGTAAGAAAAGGCAAGAAGTGAAGTCCATGTGGTTATGCGGGAAAGATAATGATTAACACTAGACTTGAAGAGGTCAAGATTGTTGTTACCGAGAAACAACCCACCGGGTGTCTGTTTCCACAAATCAGTAGTTTTCGGGAAGAATCTCTGCGAGTGGAAGTTACTCCTTACTAAAGAAATACGAAGGGATGATTCACACTTGTATACGTTTCATGGATGGTCTAGCTGTAAAGATTAGGGTTAGTGGGACTAAAGAATGTAGCGCGCCAGAACACATGCCATGGAAATAGCGATAGAGCAGAGGGGGTTCGCGACGTTTCGTTTGTGAGGAAAGGGGATGTAGGATGGAAAATAATTAATCCTCCACAAGTCAACGTAAACGTTTTTGAACTTTATCAAGACAGGTAATTGAAGACTGTGTAGCTTCAGCCTAGATATGACCACAATGCTCCATTTTTGGTTTGATTTTTGGTAAAAGGCAAGTTAGTTACTTGTTCGAGCGATACAATGAACCGTTCGCATTTTATCCAGCAACTTTAGCAGTGGATGGGGTATATAAGTTCCATTTGAGGTCTGGGGAGAGCTTGAGTCACAACAGACGTTCAAATCAAGGGCTTTTGGGAGCGGAAGTTTCATTGACATCAGATTCAATTCAGATCATATGGTACTTTCTGACGTCCACCGCATACTACAGACATTCTAATGCATCTTTTGATTTCACTACCACATTCTGCATCATCTCTCCTCCTCCTCCTCCTCCTTCTTGTATGCGTCATGTTCCTTTATGATGTTGCTCCGTCCTGGATATCACGATAAACTAAATCCACATCTGGGTATGACGATAAACTCAATCCACATCTGGGTAAGACGATAAACTAAATCCACATCTGGATATGACGATAAACTAAATCCACATCTGGGTATGACGATAAACTAAATCCACATCTGGGTAAGACGATAAACTAAATCCACATCTGGATATGACGATAAACTAAATCCACATCTAGGTATGACGGTAAACTATATCCAACAGCAAGGCCTCCGATCAGGAGGTTTTGAGGAGCGTGGAACCACCTCTTAATTGCTGGTGTTCCCAGGTCCAACCTAAGGCGGGGTGGTAGCACCTTTTAGGGTCCCTGCTATGGGCAAATAGTTAATCCCCAAACTGGGGTCAAAACACCATGAGAGTGTAAAAATAGGTTTTAATACCAGAAATACTTTGTTAAAAAGAAATTTATTACCAGCTATACATTTTTGAAGAAAAAAAAAATAACAGAAATAAAAATTTTGTCGGCATTAAATAACCCGTTGAGGTTGATATGCCGTAAAAAAAAAACCGAACCAAACCAAACTAAGATGTTGGTGATTATGGCTCTCCACATTTTCCTGTTCTTTGTAGCTCTTAATACATTTTGTCTTTTTGTTATCCCACACAGACTTGTTCTACCAACCATTTACACAACCTCGTTAGTTAGGTGATGTTTTCCTGTGTCCCGCTTGCATTCAGTATGTCCTGTAAGTGTCAAATTCTCTAAGCCTTCTTTCTACATTATGTGCCCTAGAGATTTCAATTATCTCTTTCTGATCTTATGTATAAGTATCTTTTTTATTCTGATTTTCTCAAAAAACTTCGTTGTTGCTTACATGTTCCGTCGATGGTATTCTCAGCATCTTTCTGTAGAAACACGTCTCTTTTGCTTCATCTCTCTTCTTCATTTATGAGTAGATTGTCCAGTATTCCTTGACTTATAGGGGCACAGATATTACGTAGCAGTACTCTTTTCTTTTCTTACTTTGCTTAGCTCTTGAATGGCATCTTTCGCAATCCCAATGCGCCTTCGGATTTCGGGGTCGTAGTTTCCGTCTGTCTAATTTCCGCTGCTCCGCTGCTCCGCTGCTCCGCTGCTCCAATACATAGTTCACATGTTCTTCTCTCTCTTACGCTGATTAGGAAGAAATGCATTATATTTGTTTTCTTTTTCTCCTCACCAATGCGTTCGTAGCGCCTAGAACATGTTGGCACGGTCAATTGGAAACTGGGAGACATAGCAGAGTAATGGATAGCGCCTCGGATTGAGAAATCGGAGAGCCGAGTACGAATTCCAGTCGAATCCATTACCTTCAGTTACGTGCTAATACCTTTGGGAAAGGTATGAATCTCCTTCTTCTCTTCCCAGCTATGGGTAAATAGACCGGGTTCTATAAGAAAGAAATGGCAACCTAATGCTGGAAAAATGTCAGTAGTGTATCGAAAGATAAATGATCGCCGAAGCGTGTATCACGCATGGCACATAACTGACTGACTAATGGATGTCAAACGCATGGCATAGTGGATAAAGGCGTTGGTTTGATCCAGTGACAGGACCGAAAGAGTTGTGAGCTCAATACCTGGTTAATTAACAGGCGATAATTGATAAATGACATCCATTAGACATGGCATGTGGAACTAGAACAGTCTACCCCAGCGAGCGAAATAAAGGTTTCAGTTTGACATTCCAACCACCTGAAAAAGGCCGGAGCTTACAACGGTCGAAACGTTGTAATAAATATGGCTACAAAGATTAGGACAATAGTCCGAATAATGTAAACATTGTACATAATATCTCATCTCAGAAATATAAACAGATGCTAATCTAATATAGGTCGTCCTCTATGACAGTGAATATTGGACAATCTCCTCACAAATGACGAATCTGCTTGAGCCAACAGAAAGATTCTTCTAGCGAAGGTTGCTGAAGATATAACCTTCTCTCTTTCCGTACACGTCTCCTAGGCCCCGTTGGTCTAGTTTCGCTTTCTGTCGACGGGCAACCGCTCAGTTCGGACTCCGCTTGTTCCGATATCTCAATCTTCGCAGATATATAAAGAGAGCTATACAGCTTCCAAACTGGTTTAGGGATTGGTACCAGTATAAGTCGTTGATCGTCTAGTCTTGGTTCTTCAAGTGTTGCAATTCTTAATGACGAAGAATGTTGTCTTTCTTCTTTTAGTCAATAAGCCGTGGTAAACTTCTTGTTGACGACTGGGCTGATGGGAAATAAAGTCATGCTCCCACCGAAGAAATAATAATGTTGCTTTTGGTTAAATATAGGCGATTTAACGAAGAAGAATAAAATTATATACAATCGAATATATTCAGCATCTATTAACACAAAAAGATTAGAAGGTGGAGACTTGGAATCTTGAGCTATGTGTTCAGCAAGAATCAGCCATAAATTGAAATGACTATTGTGTCCTTTAGTGTGGATGTGCAACTGCGCGTGTCTGACGACAGGTCAGGTTTCTCTCTTTCGTCCCAGCCCGTCTCCATGTATTCTCAAAATCGAGCTGAATTTATATGTAATTCTCCGCTCACATATCAAACTGTTCACACGCCAAAATTCTCCATTGTTTAAAGTCGGAGTTAAAAGATCAAATCCTGTTTTGATTTTACCCCATTTCATTCAAAGTCATAACTCCAAAACCCAAACATATTCAGCTGACATATCCATCAGAAATGAAATCAAAAACATATTCTCTGACCTATCCAATTCGAGATGACTCCTGGCCTATCGATAAATATTCCTTCCTAGGAAAATTAATAAGGAATAGATTAACATACACCAATGCATTCCAAATCATCGTCTTGAAATTTAAAAGCTACAATATATGCCAATAACAAGTTACCTTGTTATAAAGATGTGAGTAACGAGAAAGTTTTAAGGAAAGTGGAAAAAAGGACGCTTATATTTAAAATAAAAAAGAGAATGCAAATAGTGAGAAAAGAGAACTTGGAGAATTTGACACATACAGGTCATAATGAAGACAAGAGGGAAACAGCGAGTAACCTATCTCACAAGGTTGTGTTAATGGATGGAAGAATAGGACACATAATGTGGAAAGAGGGCTTGGAAATTATGATTCACAGGACATATTAAAGGCAATAGGGACGGAGGGAAATAGCAAGTAACCTTCTTAAAAAGGTTGTGAAAATGGATGACAGAACAGCAGTTGCGAATGATAGGGAAAACGTTATTAAGGGCTACAGAGCGTAGGAAATTGTGGAGAGCCATGCTCATCCACGTCCAGTAGGTACGCGGCAATAGAAAAAGTAAGTATGAAATTTTCAAATATATCAGATATCAAAATTACAAAATGTCTATCAAGACATTTAATATAATAAAATGAAATATATGTATGTTTGTCCGCTATAGTCTGAATGGATTACCGCCAAACTTGCCATGCAGTTAGACTTTGACCTAGATTATGTAAAGTTGATCCAGGTTAGCTCTGAAGGTCATGAAAGGTAAAAAGTCAGATCAAATATGTTATTAATCATGGTTTTAAAATATTTACTTCCATATGACGGTAAAGTGTGCGTAGGGGAGGGTTAAATCATTTTTTAGTAAATTGATGCTTGTTTTTTTTTCCCCCCTAAGTCATTCTAATAATCTATACTATGAAAATGAAGTGTCTGTTTATTTGTATTTTTATTTAGACAAAATTAGTTACCGAGCAGCGCTGGATATTAACTGCTCGTTAATAATACAACCATTTCATGCGTTGACAGCAGATGCTTTTTCGTAATTAACTTTGAAATGTCCGCCACTTTGTTGATAATACGGAGGTCACGTTGAGATGAACCATTTGTCGATTCAGGACAAGAAAGGGAAATATTGTATTGAGTTGGCCAAAAATTTCATTCACTTTATTAACCCTAGAACACTAACCAGGATTATATAGTACCCATCGCCTATTTCCTATTTTTAATTACAATTTTCTGTACCTGGTTTTCTTACCTAAATAATATTTCAGTTCCTATTAATGTTAACTCAAAATGTAAAATATTTCAAATAAAGATTTATATTTAATATTCTTTTTTGATATTTGGTTAGTAGTGGTGTAACTTTAATTGATGGTTAGTGCTCTAGGGTTAAGGAAAAATAAATTTCCTTTTGTTTCTTAATAAAAAGGAAAGAACTTTCTTCCATAAAGTTAATATTGAAAAACACATTTTTTTTTTGCTTTTTTTTTACTTAATAAACCGAACAATTTTTTTTTATCAACACAACTATTACCAACTATTTATCAGTCGTAAAATGAAAAAAAAAAAGTAATCTTTTTCTTACACTCACTCGAAATTGCCTTATGCACTACTTGGATGTCCGGCCATCCTTGATCCATAACAACTGCTCTAAAATGAATCAATGCTTCAATCCACGTCTACGCAAATCCACAACGATAAAAGGTTACTCTTGTAGCCAGTAACCTTTAACCTTGTACGGTATCAACAATTCGTTATTGCTGAATTTGTCATTTTAGACAGGTTTTACTCGCAAATGGACAGAGGTATATCGTCTAATAATAAATATTCGTACAAAATTATTTTCATCGAAATAAAGTGACGAGCAATTTATTTTAGCTGCAGGCATATTATTTTGTTGCCAGTTGTCAAATTTGATGGCAATCTTTTCCCGCCAATATGCACAGTGTTTTTTTTTTTAAATCTTCCTGCTTGTAGTTTTGCTTCGTTATCTATGCTTGCGCCAAAAACAATAAAGAAAAGAAAAGAAAAAGAATGAATAGTTGTCCAATACTTGACCTACGTTCATAGGCAATGACTATATCCAAGAAAACGGTTGTCGCTGATTGCTATTTCTTCAGTGCAGTGTCGATAGGTCAACGAAAATGAAACTTGATCGATGAAGAAGAGGAAAAACGATTGACAAAAACGGACGTGCCCGTAATATGTAATGACCGTCTCTTTTCCACTTGATGTAGATGTTGGGATATTTTCTTCGTGAATTTCAGTTATTTTGTCAACGTCTGGGCGCTGTTAAATACATTTCAAGAATAACAAGTTATTCGGTGGACAGAGACATATTTCTGGCTAAAGAAAAAAATACATCTTTTCTTTATACCACGAATATAACAAACATAATTGTGTAACGTTTTGATGATAAGTGTCACTTCTTTGCAGAAGAGGACCATCTCTTCACTCTGTAGCTTTTTTTTGTGTGTTTTTCATTCAGAATTTTATTATTTCCATCATTTACACCTGAGTTAACACTCAGCTATGGGCCCATAACTGATTCTTAAGCCCAGCTTCACTCTTACAAACTCTCTTACACACGTGGCAAAGATAAAATTTATCTGTTTTAACTATGCTGCAAACTTGGCTGTCCCTGCGTAAAATCATGTGACGTTTAAATCCCGCAGCAAACTTACAAACCTTGTCAGAATACGCGCACAATTAACCTGCAGGTTTTTTTTTCTGGTAGGGTTGCATTCACAGTGGTTTGCACCTGAAGTCTCTGATAGGACTGGCTAAGCAGGCCACCGAGAGGGTGACTTTTCTACAAACACTGCGTGTTAGGGTTCTAATAGTTCTGGGACGGATTCTTTTTCGTCCGCTCGGATGGCGAGTTTTTTTTGTTGAATACTCAATTCTCATTGTTGCAGTGTTCCCCAATCAATCTTCTCCAGCCAGATTTATCTTATTTCCGAGCACACACTTCTGTCACGGCGGCTAGCAACAGCCTTTTACAGACGCTGAACTAACTGATTACACTGCAGTTATGCAGTCTCTGGGAGTGAGTGCATAATCAGTCATGATGACTTGTGACTTCTCCCTAGAGTAACCATCGACGGCTTCCGAATGTTCCAGGCTACACAATTTCTGTCACGTGAGAATCCGTTTTATGGTTTTCGCGCACTTTCCTGGACGAATAATATCAAGAAGTCTCATGGCCAGACGGTAAATGTTCTAACCATTAGGCTATGTGCTATGCGATCATGTATCTTTCAATAACGAGGCAGGTGTTTTCCCGCATTTCTTTCTGCGGTAGACCAGTTGTCATCCAAGGCTCTAGAACCCGGTCTGTCTTGCTATTTACCCACATCTAGGGGGAGAAGAGGATTCATACCTTTCACATTCACCTATGTGAATATAATGGATACGAGTGGAACTCGTACTCTTTAATTCGAGCCGCTATGCATTACTCCACTTTGTCTCCTTTACTCCACCGTGTCTCCTTTACTCCACTATCTCTTTTACTCCTCCGTGTCTCATTTACTCCTCCGTGTCTCCTTTATTCCACCGTGTCTCCTTTACTCCACCGTCTCATTTACTCCTCCCTGTCTCCTTTACTCCACCGTGCCTCCTTTACTCCACCGTGTCTCCTTTATTCCACTGTCTCCTTTACACCTCCGTGTCTCCTTTACTCCACCGTGTCTCCTTTACTTCACCGTCTCATTTACTCCTCCCTGTCTCCTTTACTCCACCGTGTCTCATTTACTCGACCGTACCTCATTTATTCCACCGTCTGATTTACTCCACCGTGTCTCCTTTACTCCACCGTCTCCTTTATTTCCTCCTTTACTCCACCGTGTCTCCTTTACTCCACCGTGTCTCCTTTATTCCACCGTCTCCTTTACACCTCCGTGTCTCCTTTACTCCACCGTACCTCCTTTGCTTCATCGTCTAATTTACTCCTCCCTGTCTCCTTTACTCCACCGTACCTCCTTTATTCCACCGTGCCTCCTTTATTCCACCGTCTCATTTACTCCTCCGTGTCTCCTTTACTCCATCGTGTCTCATTTACCCACTGTACCTCCTTTATTCTACCGTCTCCTTTACTCCTCCGTGTTTCCGTGTCTCCTTTACTCCACCGTGTCTCCTTTAATCAACCGTGCTCCAACAATGCCAGACGATAAACATTCTAACCACTAGGCAATGCGGCAAATATACCCAACTACTCTAGATATATCGATATTCATAGTCAGATGGTAACGGTTAATTGTTTGTTTTCTTAGAAGCAAACATTCGGCTGCCGTCTGTTGAAATTTTTAAAACCTTTCTCTTAAAATAATATTTTTCAGGGATATACTTTTTTCAATTCTACTATCTGTTATCGCCCTTTCCAGCATTGATCGGGGTTTCCTTCCTTTTCGAATTACATGTGATACTAATTGTTATTGTTGCTGCCGTTGAAAAACCTCAATTGATTTCTGTACTTCTTTGTGATTGTGTAGCGCCAATGCACAAGGTTCAACGAAGGGCGACCCTCGCTAAGACCTACGCCCTTCACTCGCCCTGAGGCATTTTTAACCATCGATCTGAGACAGATTTTACATACAGAGGAGAGTTTAGACATTCCTGGACGAGTTTGACGCCATGCATGGCATCCATATAAAAGTCTCGTTCTAACGAGTCTATTTAAGAACATGAATCGAATTTTTAGGTTAATGTTTTAGTTTTGTAGCAACTTGCAGTATTGTGCAAAACTATCCCTAGCACAACCGAGTCTCTATTCTTATCGCCTACACTAAATTTTATAAACGTATTAATTTGATAAGTTTAATTTTATTTTCAACATAACCTCATCTCTTGCCAATTCACTGAATCCATACAATGATCCTCTTTTAATCTGATAAATTTCACACATATATATATATATATATACTTTTCACATTTAACTAATATTTGAAAAAAATATAGGAAAAACACAATTCCAGTCGTTTGTGTAGACGATACGGGGCCTTGTGTTAGTGAATTTGTTGGAATTTTCATGCGGACCAAAACTGGGGGGTCTCTCACATAATAATAAGGAAAAATAGTACTATTAAATTATTCCACAAGAACTTATTACACAGCTGGTCCTAGGCGAAATGTCCAAGAAGCTCTCATAAAAACTAAACGATAGAAATTATAAGAAACTTTATACATATATACTTGTCACCTCACGACAAAACAACTTATACTCATCACTTATTACAAAATCTAAATTCTAAACTCCAATATGATCATCACTAATAAAAGAACAATAGTCAAAATTTCATCAAACCAGTGTTGTCTATAATTTCCTTTGCTCACTAGGAGAATGTCTCTAATAATAAAACATCAAATAGTATATAGAATGATAACACTACAACTACATTATCGCGTTGATTAACGTGTCATTTATCTGATAATAGGTAAATTAAATCGCATATCAGGAAAAATCCTTATAAATATCACATAAACTTAAAAAAAGCTACTACAAATATTAAGAGTAGCTGCTACCAAGGTTTTCATCGCATGTACGTCAGTCCAAACAGGGGTGTATTGTCAGTATGTGCTGGGAAATGCTTTGTGAGTGCGCCTCTTTGATTGACCAATGCCGAGTAGCGAGCTTTCAAAGCATTATAAACTTGCTGCAGTTGTTGAGCATAAAGGCCAGCATTCACCATGGCCAGCTGGATGAGGGTCAATGTGCAGCACCCGTTCGAAATTCCGCTAAACACACAACATGACCTTCTATTCAAACCGCCCTTGGTTGATAACAGGTTCTGAAGCCATGCCGGAACGAAACCACTTATTTCTTTTATTAGGATTACGAAAATAGGCACGTTTTTCCTCCCCAGTGAAAATTCGACGTCAAAATCGGGCAACTTACCAGCAGTTGTTTTGCAAGTGTAGCCTGGTCATTGATCAGTTCAGGTGGAACTTCTCGACAGCGTCTGTTCATAAAGTTGAGCTTATGGAAGTGTCGACTGATGGTGTAAAGATCAAGTTCTGTCGACAATGTACGTGTGCCTTGGCCTATCTGGTGTTCAAGCATTTCAAGCAAATGCTCATTTTCTATAACAGAAGATCTCCCTGACCTTGGTTTATCTTTAAGACTAGTGTCACATTCCTTGAGATGTCTGAACCAGTTTTGTGCCACAAGTTCGTTGACATTACCTGGGATTTCCCCATTATTGATTTCTTTTGACACTGCTCTTGTTCTCAGTCCTTTTTTCGACAGGTAGAGTAAAAAGACCCTCATTAGAATTTTTTGGCAACTTATTAGCAAATCGGTAAAATAAATATTTATAAATCTTATGTGAAAATAAAGAATAAAGAATTCAACAACAACTGCAAAACAATTTTGTATTAAAATAATAATATGGCATGCAGATAAAGTTGCCAAAAATCATCAGTGGAAATCAGATAAAAACTCACCAAAGAACTTAACACCTTTCCCTGTTCATTATGCTTAAAAGAACGTTAAAACCAAGGATTTCTGACAAAATATACTATGTCTAATAGATATGTAATCACCCTCATTCCTTTCGTGTTTCCCTTGTTAAGAATTAAGTCCTACTCGAGCAGCTTCTTACGAACCGCTGTTTTGTGGAACCGACTCCCAAGAGGATGCTTCACCGATAACTACAATCTTAAACACTTCATGTCTAGCGTAAACAGTTAACTTCTCTACATATCCCAATAAACTGTACCTCTTACTTTGTAAACATTTACCACGAGTGGCTCTTGGGCCTTGTACAGGATGAACATTATTTAATATATATCTAAAAAGTGCTAAGAAGTTATACGTAACTATATATATATATATATATATATATATATATATATATATATATATATATATATATATATAATAAGATTTGAAAATGCACCTGACATTTTTTTTTTTTCTGATTATAATTGTTTTACTTTTGTGTAAAGCAATTATAATATTTTTCTGAAAAAGTACATGTATCATAAATATTACATAGAAATAAATAAAACGTCAGTTGCATTTTCAATGCTTATATATATATATATATATATATATATATATATATATATATATATATATATGTGTGTGTGTGTGTGTGTGTGTGTGTGTGTGTGTGTGTGTGTGTGTTTTTCTTTCACCCCAACCAGGCCGGGGAGTACCACAGGCATGCAAGGGGTTACCGAGAGAGGGAGCAAGAGGCGTGAAGGAGGAGAGAAGGAGAGAAGGACGGGGAATAGATCAAGGCACTTGGAGATGTCGATTGACATTACATTTGAATAGTTGGAGATTATAGCTACCAGGGAAGCAAGTAAAAGGTAGGGAGTTCTACACACGGGAAGTGCGAGACATGAAGCTATTGAAGTAGAAGAAACGGCTACATTTAAACGTGCTAGTGGCTCGTTTTAATTGATGCAGTATGGGAACTGGCGAAAAATACCTCGTCGGATCAGTTACCGTATTACAGAGTATTTGTAGAAAAGACAGAGGGATGCGACGGCACGTCTGTGAGGTAGCGACTGTAAACGAGATGACACATCTGGGCCAATCACATTGCATATCCGAGAGAACCAACTTTTCTTGCGGTAGATGAAGCTATTGATTCAATGTAATTGTTCCATCTCAGGTCAGCGGATAATATGAGACCAAGCAGTGACATAGAAATGCTCTCGTCGAGTTGAGCATCAGACATTCTAATGGGAGGCAGTAATAGAGATTAGTTTTGTTTTTGAGGCATTAAAGTTAATCAACCATTACACATTAATTGGAGGTCCTTTTCGAGGCCAACGGCCAGGTTAGTTATGTCAGCGATACCAGATTTGCTATTTAAGCAGGAGTAAATAATGGTGTCACCTGCATAGATGCCTACCTGGGAGCTTATGACATGGGGAAGATCGTTAATGAATATAAGAACAGTGTAGGGCCCAGGATAGAGCCTTGGGGAACACAGATAATCGTCCTGAAACTTTGTATCCCTGAACCTTACGAAGAAGGCCGGCGTGCCAAACCTTATCAAACGCTTTAGAGATATCTAGAACTGCTCCGTTATTGTGAACTGCTTGGTAAACAAATTCAGTTATGGCCGTCAGAACATCAGCTGTAGATCGTGCAAAGCGGAAACCATATTGCTTGTCAGAGAGCAAATCATGAGATGTATGGTGCTTAACCACTTCGGCGTTGATTAAAGCTCCGAAGAATTTTCCGAAGAGTGGTAGGAGACTGAGAGGATGGTAGTTAGACATGTCAGAAGGGTTGCCAGAGTTCTTGAAGACAGGTACAACAGATGAAGACTTCCAACCGGATGGAAAGCAGGAGTCGATGAGGCAGTAGTTGTATAGTCTGGAGAGGACGGGAGCCAGTTCAGGAGCACATTTCTTCGGGACAATGGCTGGTATCCCGTCTCCAGCGCTAGAATTATGGGAGTTTAATTTAGCGATGATGCCAAATACCAACGATGGAGTTATGTGCAACTCGCTCAACAGAGCCTCAGTTCTAGGGGGAAGTCGGGTGTGGGTACACTGGACGAGTCGAGCGTTGATTTGGGTGAGAATTTACAAGCAAAGCACTCGGCCTTATCAGCTGAGGAAGTCAGGACTTCAAATTGATTGAATAGTGATGATCAAAATATTCTTTGTATATTTTTTTTATTATTTAGTTGGCATGTGGGAGCACGGAAAAGATTTTGGAGTCTGAAAATTTTCAGCTACACCGGTAGCATTTGTTCCTCTTTGTTACTGGAGGTTTTTGTTTTTTAATTGGACTAAACTTCAAATATAGTAGACTTTAATGACCACAGCACGAGAGTCATTAAGTTTTTGTTCTGTCTCACTGTTGTAACCTAGAGACGTTTACTGAACAGAATAATCACACAAAGGTTGGTAATGAACGATAATACTTAGGACAAGAACAACACATATAAGATTCGCTAGCGGCGCGTAGAAGTAGTAGTCAATTGCTAGAAGTGAGTCAAGTGAATTCCACAATGAATCTTCAACTGCAGACCAACATACAGTATTTACTACTGTATTTATGTGAATTGGGACATACTCATTATCGTCCGTAGGTATGCTATAACACTCAACGATGAAGATTTTTATTGCCTCTGCCTCGTCCTTTAGATGTCTCTTATTTTGGTCAGATGACTCTAACCACCAACATTTCCTAAAAAACGAGATACCCACAACACGTGTCC